ACACACACACACACACACACACACACACACACACACACACACACACATACACACATGAAATAGAGGAATATTTTTTAATAAAATATACATATTATTATTATTATTATATTATTATATTATTATACATATATTATATTTATTAAGTTTCTCTCTCTAAAGCGCTTAATTCGAGAAAAGCTTTTTATCTTTAATCCCTCGTAACTCGAGAAATATGTATCGACATATCCATATTTTAATTGAGGAAGGATCTGCTCTAAATCATTCGTGGAATCTGTTGTTAAAATTAAGCACGTAGCATCGTATACATTTATATTATAGGCGCAATTGCACTTTGCTTCTCTTTTTTCTTTACGATGGCTATCTATCGTTTTCGTTAACGTAATGCATTTTTATCGCGTTATTAGAACCTATACGATGTTGATAATGTGACTACGCATTATCCAAGTTGCGATATGCATATTAGCCGCGCGTACTTTTTTGCACGTAGATACAGTATATTGAGTATATGCGTATAGCAAAACTATAAGTTTCATATCATATCATAATTTTAACACGAGTATTAAGAGTGTTTGTGTTAAGATTAAAAAAAGTTATTTAAAGAGAGAGCGGGCCGAATTATTTAAAGCTTGGTTAATATCGAGGAAGAGGGTGATGAAGAGGGTTGTCGCCAACGAGGCCATTTAATAAGCATTGTGTATCGCGAAGTTAAAATGTCGACGAACGAACGCATAGACATAAATAACTCTAAATTCGGCGCAAATTTAAGATGAGTGAAACCGAGCGACAAAGATTTGTGTCGTTTCGTCTTCTTTCAAATCTTTAGTGAATGGGGGAGGCGATTGGAGGGATTCTAAAATTTTATATACTAAAATTTTATATTTTTTACACACACAGCAATATTAGAACGATATGTATTCTAGATTTTACATTGTTTCCTCGCGTTTCTATCAAAGATTAATGCGCGTTATATGTATTGACAAATAATACAATTAAATCATTACGTGATAAAATAATATCACGAAAATTCGCAGACATTTTTTATCTTAGGCAATGTTCACTTATTAATAATTGTCATCGGCTTCACTCATGCAAGTGAAAATGTTGGTGTTTAAACTATACTTAGGAACATGCGTGGAATGACTGCGGATTAACATGTGTAAACATTATAATTAATAAGCTGTGTGTGTAAGCATCACGTAAGCAGCGAAGAATTGTACCTTTCATGGTATCTTTCATTTTTAAACGTCGCTTCGTCCTGCCTTCGATGCCTATGATATAGAAGTGATGTATGCAAGAATCGTTCGTAACATCGTGAATTGGGACGAACGAGTAGCACGCGATACATGTGGTTTCCTAGTTTTAACGATCAAACACATACTCAGATAAAATTTCTGAATCATTCGAATAAAATTCACGCAAGATGAAAACGCAAGAACAAAAGCAAATCTTGTCTTGTATAAATTAAAATACCGATAATTCGATTCGAATACGCGCCAAGTATAATAACGAATTACGAGGCGCAAATGGATCGTCGAAATTGTCTAGCTTTTATTATATACATAAGAGAGAAGGGAACTGTTTGAAATCGATATAAATGAATATAAGTTTGGATTTCAGTGTGATGGAGATATACGTGAAAATAATCTCCATGTAACTATGGGAAAAGAACTGTATGACGTATGTAAGGTACGCATTTGCGCAGCATTAAACATTGAACTCGATTCAGTTATTGCTGTCGAAAAGAACGCGTGCGAGGATGCATTATGCAAATCATATGAATCATGCGAATCAAGTTGCCGTTGTTAGCATGCCGAACTTTACCTCGAATTGTGATATGTTGTGCTGAATGATCGCGTGTGAATCAAACAGCGTCCGTCAACAGCCATCGACTGCCAAACCCTCGGGATTTCTC